CCCCCCCCCCCCCCTTTATGGAGGATGCGTAATAAATTAGAACCTTCATCTCAGGTCTAACCTGGTCATGTAACTAGTTTAACCATGACGGTAAATATTTTAATCAGATAACTGTCCACTTTTAATCTCTTTATTTAGAGCACATAAAAGATCATGTGTGCTATCACATTGCTGTATCTGCACTTTATCAGGACAGAGCTGGACAAGTGGCATCAGTTAGGGGATACTCGAGAGAAAAAGGTAAATCAGTAATTCTCTTCCAGATGTTTTTTTAAAGCTAGATTAAACTGTTCGGCTTTAAAAGTTGGTCTTATGTTTTGTAGCACCATCAGCTGGGCCCCAGATGTATCCAACACCACAGACAAATGGCATTTTGGTTTCATGGGAAGAAATCCCTGCCAACCAGCAGATGGGCTGCATTACAGAGTACAATATATACCTCCAAAAAAAAGACAGTGAGGTAGCTCCAAAAGTCTATGGTAGGTATCTGATTAAAAAAAAAAAAATTAGCATTGTATGCATGTGTGTTGTGTGTATGGGGGAGGGGGGGGAAAAAGAGATGACTTACAGGTCTGTATAGTTTAGGAGCCACAGGGACCGACTCCTGACCTGAACCATACCATGACGTTTAGCAGCAAGGTTCAGATTCAGTTCTCTCCCTGCTACAGCTGTTCATCAACAAGACGAGATGGTCATCAATTAAATTATTTTAAAGATTTTTCCTTAGAGCATTCTAAATTATTCTTAATATGAAACTTAGATTTTCCTACTCTGTCTTTGTTTTTATTATTTACTTAAGTTATAACTAACGCAGGCCTTTTTAATTATTGGCACAGTAAAGTAACAGACTTTCTCAAAGCTGTATTCAACACATGCAGACATACTCTGAGACAGACTTGTCAGGTAGCATGCACTGCATTCCCGCATGTGCGTGCTTTTGCCATGTGACTCCTCCCTTACAACATCAATACATCTTCCACACAAGAATTTTTTTCTGTAATTTTATTCAGGAGTTACATGATCATTTTTAATGAACGTGTCATAGTTCCACCATACACACTTCATTTTAGACTTGGACGTTACCTTCTCAACTCACCATAGTCAAAGGACAGGACATCCAATTGTCTATGCAGTATCTGTTCAGTTCCATACAATGGTTAAGTCAAGTCTCACAACAAGCCAAATGGTGCAAGGTCTTATACAGCCCTTCTAATGATTCACTAACATAGAAAAGGAACATTTACTTAAAGTAACAGATGGTGTTCTGTGTTCTTTTTTTTTTTTTTCCCCCCCCAGCAAGTTAGTTATTGTTTCTGCACTCTGTCACTGTTTCTGAACACCCAGTTTCTCATGGTTCTTTTTCCTAAATAAGCGTCTTTACCTTTATATAGAAACAGTGTGGGGAAGATGATGTATTTGTTTCCCTTATCTTTAGAATCCTCTTGTCTTTATTTATACATATTCCCTCTTTCTCACCCATCATTCAGAAATTGTGCCTGTACTATAAGGTAACAAATAAATCCCTACATTTCTGTTTGGTGGTGGGTCCCCCCCCCTCATTCATTACTGATTGTGACTATAGGTGAGCTTTAAACATCACTGTAGAAAGGCAGTGAACAACAGATGTCTCCACAGGCAGTGACGGAGGTGAGAGGAGAAAAAAAAAAAAAAATCTGTCGTTCCTGCGTGTGCATGTGTCTACTGTAGCTCGATAGATTAGGTAAGGTAGGAGACCTCTTGAAAAGCCATATGCAGTAAACACAAACATACATACACTATGTACTCAGTAAGCATAGAAAATACATACAAGAAAGTATTTTCTTGAGTTTTTTTTTTTTTTTTTCAGCACTGAAAGTCAGATCTTACTGCATGAGGACATTTTGGTTCATTAGAGAACGTTCAGGTTTTACATTTTACGTTTATATCTAATGCTTAAAGCAATGGGAACAAAATGTTTTTAGCTAAGGAATTTAAAAAAAAAAGTCTGCACTAGGAAATCAGAACTTAGACCCTCTAGCCTGGAACAAGGACATTCCCAGTCCACATCTTTAATCCATCCAAAGTGGGTCAGAAAATGCAGGAGGGGGAAGGAAATGAAAGCCACTCCCATATGTAAAACAAACGCCCAAAACCTAAGCAAACAACAACAACAACAACAAGTTCTTCCTTGCTTCTATACAAAATAGATTCATGACTTCATACAGTCTGGAAAAGAAAGTAAAAAGAGCACGTAGACCATTGATTATATTGTGCCTTGTTTTATTGTAAACAGGTTTGGTTTTTACACTAAAAACAAGACACACCTATCTCAAGAAATCATAACCTCCCCCCCCAACTACATGTATTTATTTTATTCCGATGTGTATTGTTAGTACAAAAAAAAAAAAACAACACACCAACATCCCCACAAATGGATAGTTAGGGTAGGGCAACCTATAACTGGAGAAACAAATGTTCACAGCTTTGTTTCTGATAGACCTCAATTATAAAGTGAGGATAACTGCCCCTCCAGCTCCCAGGTATGGTGACTGCATTCAGAAACTGAGGTTCTCAGAAGGCACTAGGGGGGAGCATAAAATAGGTGTTACTTACCAAAAAAAGTTCTACTGTTCCCTTAAATTACATCAATAGTCTTAGTTTGAGGAATAGTTTTGCTACATGGAGCTAATTTACTGAAACTACAAGACTAGCTTCTTCATTGAGAAAAAGGCCAGAAAGAGAATTTGTATGCCTAATGAGCATTGGCTAGATTCCAATACTGTGACCAAAGTGGATTTTCCACTGAATTGGAGAAGCTGGTCCCTCCTTCTCCCAACCTTCTATTTAAGGCTCAAGAAAACAACATACT